CACTGACCTCTACATGGTCATGTTGTATAGGGGGTCCCAACAAGGAGGCTGGATAGCGTAGATGGGGGTCGGCATTTTCTTCGAGGTGGGAGTACATCTGTCTGTCTGAGAGGCAGTGAACTAACGGTCTGCACCACATAAGGCAGATGTGTCAAATGGATGTCAACGCAAAACTAAGACTTGGAACAACACAGAAATCGGTGGCAAGGTGATCTGTTCTAGAGTTCGGGAAGTTGGGGGAGACTTTCCTTGAAGAAAAATGCGCCGCACTTATGACCGATCTTGTATCATCACATGTGCTTTTTGACAGACACAATAATGTCAAAGTGAACAAATTAAATACAATCCCTTTAATTCGCCCGTCATGTGAAAACATTCCAAATATTTCGGGTTGTACCGCTTCAGGCCTGTATTTGCTCGAACTAGTGTAACGAATAGCAGTGTCGGGCTCCAGGTAGGGACATCTTTGCTCTTAGACTAGGCTTGGGAAATTCCCTAATATTTAGAAAACCTGGCCTACATATGGCGACCACCGTGTCTTCGTTTTCTGGTGCTTTTTTCTATCTACACTTGCTGTTGAGCAGTGTGCAATACTAAATACCTATCAAGTCCCTAATTGTTGCTTTAACTGTGCCATAAAAGGTACAAGTTTTCATAGCATGGGGAATTCTGTTTGAGGCAAAAACCGAATTTCTGAACGGAGCTGAAACACCAACAACGGCTTAAACAAATATTAGCACACACAAATAACACAAAAACATTACTGGCGCCTGTGCAGGACAGAAGGAGGTAAGAACTGTGATAGTATCACTTGTGCTGAGCTTTGGAATTCATAATTATTTAAAATGTGATCATAGTTTCTCCCTGTGTGGGTTCCCAGGTTGGGGAGAAACCGAATATACCCTCTGCCTCCCTTTCACAGATGTCGACTGATTCCTTCGAAGTCTGAGTGCATCTGTATAAGAGGCGAGGAACCAACAATCTGCACACAGATAAGTTAGATCTGTATAGCGAATGTGCACGCGCAGCTCATGTTCTGGAACAAGACCAAAGTCCAGAAGTGGACGAACATCCAGAACTTCCCGCCGGCTTGTCATCATGGAGAAGAAGAAGAAGAAGAAGAAGAAGAAGAAGAAGAAGAAGAAGAAGAAGGAGAAGGAGAAGAAGAAGAAGAAGAAGAAGAAGAAGAAGAAGAAGAAGAAGAAGAAGAAGAAGAAGAAGGAGGAGGAGGAGAAGAAGAAGAAGAAGAAGAAGAAGAAGAAGAAGAAGAAGAAGAAGAAGAAGAAGAAGAAGAAGAAGAAGAAGAAGGAGAAGAAAAAAATCCCCAGCCTTACCGAGGATTCGAATCCTGGTCTCTCGCTTGAGAGCCCAGGGTTCCAACCGTTCGGTTAGAAATCACGCCCAGTTTACTTGAAATAACAACATAGAATATAATCAATGAAAGTAACGTTTGCTTGGTACTGACAGAGCTTATGTGCAAACAAATGATGTATCAAACTGGTGCCGGTGCGGTACTTGTAGTTGGATACCTCAGAAAAAAGCACTGGGTATGAGGAGGCTCGTCATTGAATACAGGAGGCGCGTAGGAAACGGTTGTACTCTGATGAAGCTACCACGGAGGAGACTGGTGCCCCTTTAAACGTTTCTGTAGTGCATTGATGGCAGTCGGAACTGAACTTTAATCTGTGTTAGTGGCAAACCACTATTACGTTAACCCGTTATTTCCCAGCAAGGTTATTTTAAAAGTACTAGATACTTCAGCAATAGCTCAGTGGAGGCAACAAGGGACTAAAGTAAATAGTTAAAACTACCATGTATTCCAAAAATAACACTAGGTCTTGTAATAATTTTGGCTTAAAAATTGCAGTAGGGCTTACTTTAAGGGGATGTCGTAGTTTTATTTTATATTTGCCTTAGAAATACTAAATTGTAAATTAATATAATTTATTAAACGACTAATTGGAGCTTCCTTCGAAGTCGGAGTACATCTGCCTGTTAGGCAAGGAACCAAGAGTCTGCATACAGATAAGCCAGATCTTTCAAACGGATGTGCACGCAACCCGCAGAAATTAAAGGGATCAAGACTAAAAACCGGAGGTGGGCGAACAACCAGAAATTTCAGCCGGTGTATACAGCCGATGAACGCGAAAAAAGAAGAAGAAGGTAATAAAATCGACCCCAATCCCACACTAACTAAAGTCTACCACAAAAATGTACTTTCAATACACATCATCAAACAACGGAAGGATGGTCGTTTTTTACGCATTCGAAAAGATACCGACAGAGAACAGTGAATATTTGAAGGTTGGACTCTCCCAAAAGTATCGCCACAAACTCTGCTTCACTTATCACATGCCATGTAATCTTGCATACTTCACAGTATACTGTGGTTACATTATTCGCGCCATGAACGAAGTCTGGTCGTTAGATCTGACATTTTTGGGCAGTGAGTAATAAATACCGTGGGAAGTTATTCATTCCCGTCTGTTTATATTGTACTAAACTCTGGTAGTTAATTGGTTGTACTAGTTCATTCATAAATATGTACGTCCATTAGTTATTCATAAGGGGGTATTCTTCCACTTCATGAAGCAAAACAGTAGGAGACTGTTTCGTTGTAACCTTGTGTACTGTTTGTTTATCGGATTCCTTTCATAAAATACTTATGAATGGACGCATTTTGAACGGAACAAATGTTTGGATAGGTTTACTATATAGACGGGTAAAGTGGAGTCTTCAAATAAATTTGCTCACATCGTAACGAGGTTGGTTGACTGTATCTCTTCCCCACCTCCTTTTCGTCCTAAACTAATATGACAACAGCAACAAGAACAACTACAACGACTGCTGCTGTTTCTACTACCGCAGCTGTTATTACGACTACTACTTCTACTACTATTACCACTGCTGTTGTTACTACTGCTATATTTTCTATTACTGCTGTTGTTTCTGTTATCGTTATTACTTTTACTATATATATATATATATATATATATATATATAAAGTCAGGTGTCTTGCCAACTGGCGTAGGCGATCATGCCTCTCCACAATCTGCGATCTACTGTTGCTGACACACCTCCATGCCATGCAACAAGACTGTCAAGAATCTGTTCTCATTGTCTTCTTCCTCTATCCCTCCTTCCGCAGATCTTTTCTGTGGTCACATGTTCAATTCTCCCTCTTCTCATAACATGGTCGAAAAATGATGACTGTCTCCTTCTGATATCTGTGATAAGTTGTCTTCGGGCTCCCGCCTCTTCCAACCCTCTTGGTTGCTATTTTTGGCTGTTCAAGGTATTCTAAGCATTCTTCTATAAAACCACATCTCGGAGGCCGCAAGAAATCGTTTGGCCTGCCTACCGATTGTCCAATACTCACTGCCATATGTTAAAACTGGATGTATATAGCAAGCAAGAGCACACACACACACACACATATATATATATATATATATATATATATATATATATATATATATATAGAGAGAGAGAGAGAGAGAGCGAGCGAGAAAGTACACACATAATTAGAAAGAGAAAGCGACTGCAATGTGTTTGAGCAATGTTATGTTACCACAGTCGACGTCATTGCACACTGTGTGCTCAGTCCCCAGTTTCAGCAGCCATCCCAACGTGGCTTTGTTGAATGTAGCCAGAAGAGAAGTTGCAGTAAAACAGGCTACAACATCCCCTAGTCTAGACAAGGTTGGGGCTTCATCGTGTGGGTGCCAGGGCCCTTGGAAAAAGGGGGAGGGGAATTGATCCAATGTTTTTTTTTTCGAAGTCGGAGTGCATCTGCAGGAGAGGCGAGGAGTCAACAGTTTGATACAAATAAGCCAGATCTTTTTAGTATATGTTCACATAAAACCCAAGTTCTACAACAAGACTAAGTCCAAAAGTAGACAAACAACCAGAACTTACTGCTGGAGTTAACAGCCAGTGAGTAAAAAGAAGAAGGGTTAAAGTAAACAAAGCAGACGCGAACTAGACTGCACAGTTTATGGCCTGGCATATTTCGCTGTATCTTGTCGGGTTTTCAGACTTTAGCAACAGTTTAATACAATAAACCAAATAAATTAATCCTTCTAACTGAAATACAACAACGACTACAGTGAAAATTGCCTGTTTTACCAGTGCAGTTGCAAAGTAAAACACTGCTCTGATTTACTGAAACGTGGCCTTGTGACTAAGGCCCTATGCTTCACTGGGAGAATACAAGAAAGTAAAGAGATTTATTCATTCAAAGTTTTTGCTGATGCCACTGCCTACTGTTTTAAGTTCAATTTCTTACAAAACTGAAAATAATTTTGTATAGATGTGGATGTAGACAAAAGAGGCTGGGGGAGAGGAATAGATGATAAAAATCAAAGTGAGTGGATATTTATTGATATATTGCCATAAAGTTGAAACTGAGCTGAAAGCGTCCACAATGGAAGCAGTTGGGAAAACAACTCATTGCAGCTTTATGTTAAATAAAATGTTCAAGACGAAGTAGGGAAGTGTAGTGAAGGTTACAGGAGAATAAAGTTGGGCATTTCTTTCATTAGACTTCTCTTTGTCCAGGAGAAAACGGGGGCAGAAACAAGGGGAGCACGGGGGACCCGGGTTGATCGACTCATCGTCTCCCCCCTTCTTTGTGTCTGCCTCGGACCTTCCTCACACAAAGGACTCATGGAAACTATATGAAATAAAGTGGTCCTGATCTCATCTACAACCGTGTATCTGGGCTCAGATAAGACTAAGATGGGTACAGAATATGTCAGGATAGAAACAAGTTGAGTTTTTTAGGTCAGAGTCCATTTCATTCATGAAAACATAAACAATGAACAGAAGGCGCGTTTGCGGGAGGGAAACCGTAGTGAGTCATCGGTCGTTCCCGTAACCACTCGGGTGTTTCCGTGTTGTAGGAAGCAACAAATCCTCGTCGACCAATCAACATCCAGCATTGACAATCAAAGCGGCCAATCAAAACGCTACAAACACACCTCGTGGTCTGTTCCAACATGGCGGGTGAGTCCACCTCACATCGTTTAGTTTGTTTGAGAAATATTTAAACTTTCCGCCAAATTCATCATTTTTTCCTGTATTTTTCAGATTTGGAATTTTATCAAGATGATTCGGATGACAGCGCCGAAGATGGTAAGTTATCCTCATTGTTTTAATCATATTTTATACAGTAAAACAACGCGTCGCCATGAATGAAAGAAAATGTGATCGCTGTGAACGATCGTCTTGCCCTTTCGCGCCATGTTTTTTTTTCTGTTTCAAACTTCAACCACAACAGACCTGGATCTCCCACCCCGATGCTGTTATATCAACACGTCAGGGTGGCGATGTAAACGTAATTAAGCACGAAAAACAAAGGGAATCACGCGGAATTAAATAGGGGAAGTATTTTCTAAGGCTCTAAAGCTGGGAGAGGAGCAAGTGGCGGGGTGGCTGCTGGGACGGGTCATGTGACCAGAAACCTGGGCGCCCAGCTGGGAGGAGACGCCACCACAACCACGCTGAGGGGGGACACCCCATGATCCTAGCTCCTCTCTCTACCGTCTGTCTCTGTCTCTCCCCCTGTAGGATTATCAGTCTCCCTGGATTAGTCCTGACCACAGCTCACCTTCTGCTATGACTGGAGCGGGGATCGATAAAATGCGCGTAAGTTGAGTCACGTGTGACGGCAGAGAGAATGAGTGAGTACGTACAAGTCACCCAGGGTCTCCGTGCTGATCGGGGGGTGGGTTCTGGCCATCTGAGCACTTCTCGGACAGTTTTTGTGTTTTCGTTCAAGTGTGACTGTGTGCAATCACTACTCAGACGTCGTTCTAGCCGTGGTCAGTATTAACTAACGGTCACACTTTAGCGAGCCAGCATCCAGCATTGATGATTGACTTGAAGTCGCAGCTAGCCTGCCTTCTTCTCACGGGTAAAGTTTTCAAATTTGAAAAAGTTTACATTAGGCGCTAAAATAATCACGGAAGGGTTTCTGCCCTGACGTTCAAAGAAAATAATATTCCTGGGAATATTTCTCTAATGATCGCAAATTTTATATCTTAAAACAATTATTAATGCAAGATCAATTCAGGCACACAAAATAAGTATGATTTAGTGGATGAATTTTATGTGCTGATTGTGCTTACTTTCTCACAAAAGTTTGAGTTAAGTCAGCTTTGTAAATTGTTAAGACACCCCCCCCCCCCCTCTTCCCCAAACAAATGAAGGGTTGCAAGAAGTATAGTCAGGTCAGAGTAAGAGTTTTAGAATTAAAAAAAAAAAAAAAAAAACACCTTGATTACTTGATATTACACAATAAACTGAACTATTTAAGTGCTGTCTTCACACATTCCATTGGTAGTCCATCAGGATGTCACAGATGGAGAATCCCTAACAGTAGTACCTGTTAATTTTAATAATTCACTCCACTCGTGTGTCCAAATTATTGTTTCCTGGGTTTAACTTTAACTAAGTGCCCCCGGTGCTTTAGTGCCAATTTAGATTTTGTCTAAGATAATGAACCACTCTTGAGAAAATTTCGGTCCTGAATGCCAAGGTTTGAGTGTACTTAAGTGACTAAAATGCTTATATATATATGCTGATCTAATGACTGAATGTTTCAATGTAGGTGACTATGGCTTTGGTGGTGGATTGCGTGAAGCCGAGGACCTCACTCGGCTGCAGCGGCTGGAGAAATACCTGGACAGCGATAACATTTTCAACAGGTGAGTTGTTGTTCTGCCCAACCAGGTATAAAATAAAGGGTCGCTAGTGTAGGGCAGTCAGGGTTTCAACTTTGTGGATGAGGTAATCATATGAATTTGAAATGTGGCATATTATTGCTGTCAACAGATGGTGTTTTGCTAACATGTGAAGGTAGGCAAAGTGAACTAGATCAAGGCAGTGGAACTGGTCACCTCATCCTGTCCAACTGGCCAAGCTCCCATCGGCACAATTACATTTACTATGCTTTGTTCACACGACACACGTCCAATTTTTCAGCAGCTGCTGTAAACGACACACAGTAAAGGTGTGTTTGTTCTTTTTTTGTCCTTGCACTCATATTTTACCTCATGTAGTATGTATTGTATTCAGAAAAGAAGTGTGCAGCAACTAGCCTCAGCTTCGACTTTCCTGGGCACGAGTTATTCAGGTGTGAGGATCAACCATTTTACAGTGAAGTGTGAAGGATTTACCATTCTGTTCTGGACAGACAGGTAAATCTGAAGGATTCACCATTCCATCCTGAACAGACAGTAAAGTCTGATGGAATCACTATTCCATCCTGCACAGACAGTAAAGTTTAAAGGATTTATCATTCCATCCTGAACAGACAGTAAAGTCTGAATTCACCATTCCATCCTGGACAGAGAGTAAAGTCTGAAGGATTCACCATTCCATTCTGGACATACATTAGTTTCTGACATGACAATATATGACTAGTAGTAGATAGGACAAGATGTGATGAATTTGATTTGATGTTTGCAGACAAATGCTGGCACGAAGCTTGCTGGAGACCCTGAGATCTGTGTATGAGAGCAATGACAACTGTCTTGCTGTACTGGATGCCATGATGAAACTGTCAGAGGACCCAGGTCAGATTTCCAGATGGCTTTTTTGTTCTGATTATTGTCTACTCTTGAATATTGTTGGTATCTTACCATATTTCAAGACATGTTACACTGTGCTGGGAGATATCAGAATCACCTCCTATCCATCGTGAGTGTAATCAGCATCATCCACTTGCATTCAGAAAGTCTTCCTTTTGAAAGACTTTCTTAGAGCGTTGGGATTTCAGGACCGGTGTTGATTGAACCAGTGTCAGCCTGAAAGTTCTTCCTCTCCCTAGCAGAAAACCTGGGCAGTTTTCGCCCATGCACCATGATCCCTGTCTTCCTTATGTACTCAGACAAAAGGTAATGCTTAAAGCTGGCCGATATGTTTGGAAGAAAGCAAATAGCAGAAGCTGCCAGAGCAGTAAGACTGATGGCTGGGATGCCTTACATTCGGGTTTCAGGTTGCATTTGCCCCTCCTTTGAATACAGAGAAGGACAACTAAATAACATCATGTAGGCTAGGGAATTTCATATTTTTCACGTTACGACTTAGCAAGACTGTTGACAGCTGGAATGTGACATCTTTTAGATGTTAGTAGGCATATTTGTTTAGTACAAATCTCTGGGTAAAAAAAAAAAAAGGGGGGGGGGGGGGTTAATCATAAAAGACCACTAATTATTCTTTTGTTGTTATGTCGGTGTGCATCTGCCTGAGAGAGGAGGAACAAAGTCTGCGTGGAAACAAAGCCAGATGTGCATGCAAAAGATGTGCATGCAAAAGCCCGAAAAAGTGTTCAGCAACACAATCAAAAGTCGAGTGCATGAGCAACCATAACTTTTCGCTAGCCGCTGAACACTAAACTAAGAGGAACAATTGAAATCAGGTTTCAATACAGATTGTTGATCGTCTTCTTCTTCGTGTTCACCGGCTGTAAACTCTAGCGGAAAGTTCTGGTTGTTTGTCCACTTCTGGACTGCACATTATTTCATTTACAATGAATTAATTTAATACCACTTGATTGGTGAGTGTCCATCATCACCTTGTTTTCCTGTGTAGGTTCCGGGGTCCCTTTGGGGGAATCAAAGACCCACTGCCTCCCCGAGCATGTCATAAGAGTTGACTAATTGCAGGTTTTCTTTGAAGTTAAAGTGCAGCTGCCTGAGAGACAAGAAACCAAAAATCTGCATACAATTAAGTCAGATCTGTTAAATGGATGTGCACGCAACAGTTTCTGGAACAAGATAAGTGCAGAAGTTGACAAACAACCAGAACTTTCCGCCATAGTTACCGCCATGGATGTGAAAAAGAAGATGATTACCACGTTGAAGCTTTTATTAACTTCATTAGTAGAGAGTATTGGTTTCAACAAGAAATAAACAGCCTGTCTTAAACGGTTTTATTTTATTCCTTTAGAACCCTCTGTTCGCTCAGAGCTGATGGAGCAGGTGCCTCATATAGCTGTTTACTGTCAAGAGAACCGCCATGCCTTTGCTGATGCAGTGCCTAAGTACCTCCTGCCCATGGTGGTCAGATACCTCAGTGACTCCAACAGTCAGGTTAGTGTTTGTCATCTCAGGTTACTGAGATTTTTTTTTAATTGCAAGCAGTATGCTTGCCCCTGTCTTTCCCTTCCTTCCACACTTGATTCTGTAAATTGTTTTTTGTTTATTTATAACCTTACCACTTTGTCAGTTTAATTTATGCATATTTCTTCACCATTCCGAGCACTTGAGGTTAATTGCTGCAGATATCACTGGCCTCTATTCATCTCTCTGTTTGGTCTTCTCTTTCCACTTAGTGACACCAAGTATTTTGCAGGTCTGTCTAGATATTATCTCTCCATCCTCTTCTTGGTCTGCCTCATGGTCTATGACCGTTCATCTCCTTCGTGTACTTTTGTCATCTGACAATCTTTCAATATGTCCCAACCATTTCAGTCTATTAGCTCTCATGCTGCCAGTGATCAGTGTTGATTTAAACAGATTATGAATTTCGTTGTTGCTTCTCACTCTCCATTCCCCACTGTTTGCATTTTGATGGGTCCAAAGATTCGTTGTAAGATTCTGTTTTTGAAAACCTGCAATAAGGCTTCATCTCTTTTAGTTGTGCTACCAGTTTCAGAGCGTTTTATTATGTGTATTTGTCCCAAGTTTTAATTTCACACACACACACACACACACACACCCCCTCCCTTTGAAGATGGATGTCTTCAGTGATCTGTGTTCATGTGCTTATCTTACTATGGGAACAATAGTTTCAGGGTACGAGTTGTTTGCCATCGGCGTTCAGTTAGGGAATAATAGTTTCAGGGTACCAGTTGTTTGCCATCGGTGTTTAGTTAGGGAATAATAGTTTCAGGGTACCAGTTGTTTGCCATCAGCGTTCAGTTAGGGAATAATAGTTTCAGGGTACCAGTTGTTTGCCATCGGCGTTCAGTTAGTAAACAGATTCAGTGTTTAATGGTTTCACTATATATATCCAGCATAACCCTGAGAATCTGCTGGTTTAGAAATTTGAGTTGTTACTTTATTTAAATTTTACTAATTTGTGAATTGATGGCTTATAACAATTGGTATAAGTTATTACGGTATTATCATGCAGCTACCTCTGAATCTCCCACAGGTGAGAAAAACCAGCCAAGCTGCACTGTTGGTTCTCCTTGAACAAGATCTGGTGGAGAAGTCTGACATTGAGGACCAGGTGGTGCATGTCATCTTGGAGTTAGCTGCCCCGGAGAGTCTTGACGATTACCGCTCGGAGGCAGCAGCAGTAAGTTGGTCGGATGTGTGACTACAAGTATAGTGTTTTCAGTGGGTGTGCCCATGGTAATTTGAAATAGTTCCTCTCTGGCATTTTTAGGCATGTGTTTTTTTCTTTGTAGTAAAGATATGTTTATAGTCGGGTGAGTTTTGGGTCTGTTGATAGTTCTAGTTAGTGGATTTTCAAATGTAGGTATGTGTAGGCTTTAGGGTTTGAATGGTGTTTTAAATGTGATAGCTGAATAATATATAGATAGCTAGCTGTTTGTTGGTTATTTCCATGACAACTCAGATGAAAGGATATCAGTTGAGTAAGGGATCTCAGTATCTCATCTTTGTTGTCAAATACTGAGAGAATATGGCAACAAGCAGGACCCCAGAAACTCACTGAATCAATGTTTGTGTGTTGTGAAAGACATGGGTAGTGAGATGTTACATCAGGTCATCTTACTACTCTGTCTTTTGCATCACGAAACAATTGTGCATCATTGCAGCACAGCACAGTCTCGGCAAGACAACTGGTTGGTCCAGTGGCATCAATGCTGGATGTTATAGCAAATCTGCAGGAGTCCTATCACAGCCTCGGCAAGACAACTGGTTGGTCCAGTGGCATCAATGCTGGATGTTATAGCAAATCTGCAGGAGTCCTATCACAGCCTCGGCAAGACAACTGGTTGGTCCAGTGGCATCAATGCTGGATGTTATAGCAAATCTGCAGGAGTCCTATCACAGCCTCGGCAAGACAACTGGTTGGTCCAGTAGCATCAAAGCTGGATGTTATAGCAAATCTGCAGGAGTCCTATCACAGCCTCGGCAAGACAACTGGTTGGTCCAGTGGCATCAATGCTGGATGTTATAGCAAATCTGCAGGAGTCCTATCACAGCCTCGACAAGACAACTGGTTGGTCCAGTGGCATCAATGCTGGATGTTATAGCAAATCTGCAGGAGTCCTATCACAGCCAGCTTTGATGAGCGCTGTCCTGACCCCGTGTGCCCAGCAGGTCTTCAGCCTGGTCCTCTCTGATGGGGGGCAAGAGGGTTGCTGCACTGGCCAGGTGGCTGGGATGTGTTGTTGCAGCGATATCACAGCCTGCTTGGATCAGTACAGTGGCATTAATCATCATCATCTGTGTGTGTTTAACATTTCCTGCTGCCGGATAGATCTAAGCGCCGACAGGAATGTGTGTGTGTGTGTTTAGGGCCGTGTTGATGGAAGTTAGGGCCGTGTTGTGGAAAATGCTGGTCAGCGCAGCTCTTCAGAGTGGTTGTGATTTGTAGAACAGTTCATATCACAGCCAGCTTTGATGAGCTTCCTGGCTTTTGCTCGTACAGCAATCAAGGCATTGGCTCTGTCATCAGGTTAACCATCCTTTCAAATGTTGCTGCAGTGACATTGTTTGGTGAAGTTGTTGATTCTTTTCTTGTTTTTGTGTACTAGTTTTGTCAGTGGCATCAAGTTTAGTTTTATATATATATATATATATATATATATATTTATATCTGTTTCTTTGCACTGTTTTTAGATATATGTGTTGAGTGTTTTGCTTGTTCTATTCTCACGTTGATTCTTACCCTTGGTAGCCTGAGTCGTGTGATGAGCACATAAGTCCCCACCTGAGACATCACAGTGACTGTGATGTGTGTGCTTCATATTCATATCACAGTCAGCTTTGATGAGCTTAGTTCTGTGACCAACATGTGATGTGTGTGCTTCATATTCATATCACAGTCAGCTTTGATGAGCTTAGTTCTGTGACCAACATGTGATGTGTGTGCTTCATATTTATATCACAGTCAGCTTTGATGAGCTTAGTTCTGTGACCAACATGTGATGTGTGTGCTTCATATTCATATCACAGTCAGCTTTGATGAGCTTAGTTCTGTGACCAACATGTGATGTGTGTGCTTCATATTCATATCACAGTCAGCTTTGATGAGCTTAGTTCTGTGACCAACATGTGATGTGTTTCCCTTCTTGATTTGTTTTTGGGTTCAGATGACCCTTTTGTATCATCTGGTTTAGGTGGATTTTGTTGTTTTCAGACAACTATTTTTGCTTTTTCATTTTTGGTTCTGATTACTAACTTGTTTGGTCCCACTGTAGTTTTGATAATCCATGTTTGGTCTCTCTTTGTAGTCTTTTCTTAAAGTTGTTCACAAACCTCATTTTGTAACTTATGTTTATTTGTAGCTGAAATAGATATAGATGTTATGGTTGTGCTGTTTTTGGTGTAGCGAATATTTTGGTGGCTTAGATGTATGATAATAATTACTGATTTCATAAACTTAAATCTCTGACATTTAAGTTATCTTTAAAAAAAAAAGTTTGTTCAGTTTTAACATGGTGTGGTACACATTTGCCTGTGGTGAAAATTTCTGTGTGGTTCGAAGGCCTTCTGTGACAGCTGAGTGTTTCTTCCCATTTGTTAATTGGTCATTGGCATTGTTGTTGTAGAGAGCTCTATGTAATCAGATACTCTTTGGGTTGTCATTGTTGCTGCTGTGTGGGAGCAACTTGGTTGTCCTGATATTGGATTGCAAGCCTGAATTTGACAAGGTCAAGCCCAGGCTACCCTGACATCAATGCGGTTGTGATGTGGTGGTTCAAGGTCAAGCCCAGGCTACCCTGACATCAATGCGGTTGTGATGTGGTGGTTGTGGCACATATCACAGCCAGCTTTGATGACAGGGATACCTATATGCTGCAGGTAGGAGTTGAATGAATCACTGCATTTCCTCTGTGTGGCTACTGCCATGTGTGTTGGGATTGCCTAGGGTTGTTTGTTTCATCATTACCTCGTTGGTAGTAGGAACAACAAAATAGTGGTCATTGTAGGGTTGTTCTTGGTCTCGACAAAGTTGAAAGCTTGTCTGGGGAGGAAGCTCATGCAGACTACATCATTGTGTCTGTTTTGTATTTTTTGGACACCCCTGTAGCATTGTGGTGCTGGGTAATTGAATTGTGTTGATGTCAGAAATGTATTATGGTATTTTAGAGGATACAGTTTACATCTGTTGCAAACATTAGTAATGAGATATTCTACTTGTTTTTGTTGTTGTCCATAAGGCAGACAAATAAAAGATACATGAAGTTGGTAGTTAAGGGCCAGTACACGTAGTTAATATCTGTTGGTCTAAGTGTGAATGGTTGTCTTTCTATGGTATGTCTGCCTGGTGTAGAGTATCATTTTTTGTTATGTTTGTCCGGTATAGGAGACCGGGCTATCGCTTTCTCTGAAATGTCATCTTTGTGCGTCTTTCTCTGCAGGATTTACTGTTGTAGGATCTCTTAGTATGTCTGTTGTAAAGAGTCTAGCTGTCCCACTTTGTGCTGTCTGTCTTCTGTAGATCTTTTAGTGTCTACTTGGGTACCATCTAGGATTTCACAGTGTATCTGGGGTGACACAGGTAGGTGACCTATGCATAGTTTCCAAATTATAAAAGTTTAATAAAATGAATAATATAGTTATACTTTTTAAAATTTAAATTGTGTGAATTTTTCTTTTATCTGTTTGCATTAGTTTATCACATTTGATCTTTGTCAGTTAGTGTAGCATGTAGGTATGCTACAAATGTACATGTAAACAATTGCTGATAAACTCAAAGATTGATTAACTGGGGCCTGCACAGAATAGAGGCCATTAAATGGCATTGTAGAATCTCTCATGTTGACCTTTGGCAGGTGAAGAAGATAACTGGTCTTGGATAGAACACCTTCTGAAAATGTGAGTAGAAGAACAATCCAAGGGCTCTACATCTGAGGCTGCAGTGGTGTGCAAATAAACTGGAGGGAGTTAGAAGGCTGGTAAAGGACGGGTGGACATGGGGTTGAGCTGCATGCAAATACAAGGATTTGGCGATGCCCTTCTGGGGGATTAAGAACAAGAAGAAAATTTACATCTATTTAAAAAAAAATTTGGGCATAGAAAATAGTTTTAAGTTTCAGTACTTTTAGCTTAAATTATAATTGATTTCCTTGTTAACTCTACGAGACCTGAGGCCATAAACCTAACTGTCCCCTATACCTGTGCTCCTGAGCATTAAAGAGAAAACACACATGTACAGTTAGTTACATGCAAACAATTGGTTAGAATAAGATGAAACTTGGAGACATTGTAGAAAATGTATCTACCTTTTATCATTAAAATTCAGATTTGTATTTGGTGATACAAAATTCCTTGTCAACCTTCATTACCATCTAGGTCTTCCCCCTCAGCTGTTTGAGGGACACGCCCCCCTTCTCTTACTATTGATCTAGCTGTAGATCTATAAGGTTCCATATTCTCCACATTACTGGAGCTCTGACAGTCTGTGTCACTTCAACTGGGAACATATTCTTGTTGAAATTCTGACTCCTCGGAGACTAAATTAACCAAAGTATCGATCACCTGTTGGACATTGCTTTCCTGTTGGTGCTTGATTCATTAGCCGCTTCATTGTGAATTTTCAGAATTTTTTTTTACGTTAAACAAGTCAAATTAAACACGTGGGGGCAACCATTGGCAGTGACGATTGGTTGGATATTTTTAGTTTGTGACACAATTTTTTTAAGTAGTACGCAAAGTACTGACAATTAGCTACAGCTGTTTAGCGGTAGATTAGGAAGGTACCAGAAAAGCGGCACAGTGGTCTGGTAGAATTAGGGTCTAACTTTTCTTCCTTTTCACATGCATGGTTCACATACTGAAATGTTAGTTTTGTGAAATACAATTTGTATTTTGTCTTAGGCAGTTTCTCTATTAGGAGGCTTGAGTTTAATAGTCTTCAGCTGTCTGTCAGTTGTTCTTTCAGTGATCTGTTTACTATACACATTCCAATTATCATCATCAGGTGCCGTGCCGACTGACGATCATGTCTTTCCAGTCTACAATCTCCTGCAGCATGTGTCAGTTCATGTGCTGACACACCTCTATGCCATGCAACAAGACTGTCAAGAATCTTTTCTCGTTGTTTTCCTCCATCCCTCCTTCCACAGATCTTTCCAGTGGTCACATCATGTTCCATTTTCCCTCTTCTCATAACATGGCCGAAAAATGATGTCTCCTTCTGATGTCTGTGATTTGTCTTTGGGCTTCATCCCCATTCAAAACCTCTTGGTTGCTCTTTTTGGCTGTCAGGATATTCTAAGCATTCTTCTGTAAAACCACACCTCTGAGGCCTCAAGAAATTGTCTGGCCTGCCTACAGATTGTCCAGGACTTAAGCAATATGTTAAAACTGGATGTATATAGCAAGCAAGAATTCTCTTTCTAACCTTCAATGACAAGGATATATTGCATGAGATGGTACTTCATTTTATAAAATGCAGTTTTTGCCTGTCCTGTTCTGTTTCTATCTCAGTTATGCATCTTCCATCTGATGTTATCCATGTGCCCAGATACCTAAATTTCGGTACTTGTCCCAAAATAACACCATTGACTTTCATTACACATTTAGGAATAATTCTTTACTTTGATACCACCATTACTTCTGTCTTTCCATTATTCAAACTGAGGCCCATTCTTCCACTTTCTACCACTACAATATCTATCATTTCCTGTAGATCAAGACTGTAATCAGCATAATGCAAATTGTTTATATGGCATTGTTTGTACCTTTCCCTTCTACAAATTCACATTGTTCATCGCTGATTTCTGGTTTAATTTTGTTTCTTATTATTCTCATAATTATTCTCAGTAAAATCCTAGTCATGTGACTCATAAGACTTATTGTGTGATGGTCTTTACATTTTAAAGTGCCTGGTTTCTTTGGCAGAGCTATAAATAAGATTTTAAAAGTTTGGAATATATCCTCTATTGTAAAAATTATTTAAAAGTTTAGTTATTATTTCAATTCCAAAATCTCCCAGTGCTTCGATTTCTTCTGGCCCTTGGTGCTTTTCCTTTCTTCATATGATGAAATGCATCCTCGACTTCTGCAGTCATTATTGGTGGACCATCATTGTTGGTCTGCAGTTCTACATCTGGTCTATTTTCATAATACAATTCTCCTATATACTCTGTCCATCTGTCAGTTATATTCTAAATTTATGTTTTGAGGCATGATTTTCTAGGGAAAATACAGGGGTGGTTTTACCTTGACTTCCTCCGGTTTGTATATAGTTTGACTCCAATCGCTTTTGTCTAAAGAGACTTTACCCTGCAAGGCAGCAGGGGGAGAGGTTATGGCATCTCTTACTGATGGCCATGTCGTAGAGTTTTCAGGTATTGTATAGTGTGAGCTGTCCCACAATCTCACCTCCTCTCAATGATCATCTCCTGTTTTGGTCCACGGCCACTTATTAATATATTCGTAGCTAACCTCTATATCTAGAGGCCCTTCTACCATCCGCCACCTGGTGGACGTGCCTAGTAGTGGGACAGACTCGTACCCTCATATTCCAATATGGGTCATACACAGACGGGGGTTCCTGTATTTATTAGAAATTTGTCAGTGCCACGGTGTGTGTGTGTGTGTGGGGGGGGGGGGGGGGGTTAAATGAATAAGCAGATTTTCCCTGCCTGTTTCCCATAACAAATAGAAGACTCAGTTATATCTATCATGCCCAGGAAAACTTATTCACAGGCTGTGTGACCTTGGCAAATCTGGTGTGTTCCTTGGACCAGTGTAGAACAAGGAAAACCTCAGAAGAAATATATGTCCTTTTCAAAACTACCTACCTTTTTTAATTTAAAAAATATGAAATGAAAATGTGCCTGAAATCTTTCACCCGGCGGACCTAGCTTCCATATAGTCCATTTTAAAAATAAAAATTTAAGAAAATTGTGGGGGGGGGGGGGGTGGGAGAACAACACACAAAGTTAAAAAAAACAATTACAAATCAGCCCCGTTGGAGCTACACTTAAATTCAAATCAGCTTTCTTGAAATATCCAGCCCCTTACACAAGCCTGCACATAAACACAATTCGTAAAACTGGATCGCATGCAAAGCTCAATTGTTAGCACAAGACCAAAGTCCAGAAGTTGACAAACAACCAGGACTTGCTGGAGGACAGCCTATGAGCATGAAGAAGAGTCGGTTGGTACCAGGTTAAAGGTCGAATGTGTTTGTCTAACACTTGAGGCCGGGCTGATTTGTCCGTCTTGTAGCTCTGTTGACATGATCTGGTGTGTGTTTCAGTTAATGAGCAAGATGGCTCTGCTGTTGGGGAAGGACATCACAGAGAGGCTACTGCTGCCCAGGTTTAGTGAGCTGTGCACAGATAACCTGTTTCATGTCCGCAAAGTAAGTGCACATCCTTCGCTTACACAGCTGTGATTAGAATCTGTTGCTCTTGTCTTTACTCTTTTTGTCACCACCGTCAAACTGTGTGTGCTCAGCTTCTGTTTGTGTATCAACACAACACATGGTGTGTTTATTTTATATTTGGTCTGGGTATGTAAAAGAAATCAGGCCAGATATTTTAAATCCAGCACCGTATGTTGTCTATAAAAGTCAAACACTGATGCCTTATTGACTGCCAATTTATTTCGATTTGATACCACCTGGGACTAAAAAGAAAACGTAATTGCATATCCTTAAAGGGTATTGCAAACCAACTCCAGCAGTTGTTGCTGTTTGTGGTTTTTACTCGGCAGTTTTACATCAGAAGTTTACCATTGCTGTCTGAACAGTTGGTTCTTAGTATCATTGTCAAGTTGCCTGCAGCTGAAATCAAACTGGGTATTATGGAATTTCAAACCTTTTCCAACCCCCGTGTCTAAATATATCAAAATGAATAATAAAAAATGAACATGTACCGCTCAGTAACATATAACTATAATATAAATACAATCTCTGCATTAGATTTCGTTCCAGAAAAATATTTTGGAATACCATAATGGAGCACCATTTTTTGGTAAAGAAAAGTTATTTCAGACAATTAGTATTTTTACACCCCCCTCGCCCAAATGTATAATTATGGTGACACTGTTTGTGTAGCCTATGTTCTCACATAATAAGGCAATTGCACTAGACCTGACAAGAATAAAAATCACGTTTCAGTTTTTTTTTCTTTCTTTATGCCAGCTGAATTTGTTATAATTGTAGATTCGAGCACAATATAGCTTTCCTTCATCAAAGTTTATCTATAAATAAATAAAATAAGTCTAACTCGCAACTTTCTTTGCCTAGCTTCAAATAAATCTGATAAACAACCGTTTTTTTTAAATCTAAGGCTGCTAAAGCCATAAATCTTGTTATCATGCATGAAATCTTCTCGGAGGCCATATGGTTTCATACAGATACTCACTCGGTAAAGCTCACAGGCATCTATATTTTATGCTTTTAACCACATTTTAAAATAAATCTAACGGTCAATAGTGTGAAACTGAACAGAAAGAACAGGAAATACCATTCAAAACTTCTGGATTGCGTTTTACTGTCTAGTGGTGATGCGTCCCTTGGTACTCCAGAAGTTAAGCGCTTTTGTTTCACTTCTTGGGCTTGACTCTTGTTCCAGAACCTGGCCTGTTTGACTTCTTGGGCTTGACTCTAGTTCCAGAACCTGGCCTGTTTGACTTCTTGGGCTTGACTCTTGTTCCAGAACCTGGCCTGTTTGACTTCTTGTGCTTGACTCTTGTTCCAGAACCTGGCCTGTTTGACAGGTGTGCAGACTGAGGTTTCTTGCCTCCCAAGCAGCTGCCTGCTGATTTCAAATGAAACATCTTTTCTTTCTTCTCTTACATTTCTCACTGAGTTCTGATTGATCAATAGAAATGTGGAGAGCACCGCCATAAACTGCATGTGTCAGTTCACAGAAACCGTGCCTTGTCTGTCTATCTTTGTTACTTCTCTTTTGTCCATCCTCCAGTGGGGCATAAGCCTTCAACTATCTCATGCTAAGTCTTATTTTTTGCAATGGCGTCTGGTAACAATTGCCAACTCTTTGGTGGGTGTTGAATTGAAGGCAAGGTCGGGTTTGTCGGCCGAAAGGCAGGAATATCACATACATGCTGTAAACGGGCACAATGCAGGTACATCTTCAGATAAATACAGAAGAGGAGATAGGGACTGTCTCCATGTCTGCCATTGTTGTTTACTGAAATATTGTATGTTATTGCCATACTTGAGCTCTTAAGCATATTTCAATGTTCTTAAATATTTTTTTATTTATGTGTATAGGTGTGTGCAGCAAATTTTGGTGAGGTTGCGAGTGTGGTTGGAGTCAAGAACTGTGAAGAGGTTTTGGTAAGTTAAACTTAGCTATACAGATTTTCTGCTTTTATATTGGTGCTGTTGTATTTTTGGATAATTTCTCAGTAACTACTTTTTTTTTGTGGGGTTTCTTGGAATGTTGTTTTTCCTCTGCTGTGTCAGCTTCGTGCTTTTGACTGCACTAACATGGCGGATAGCCGATTAAAGGGTGTATCCTTTTCTGGGTCCAATATCAGCTGTTGAGATTGACCATGTACACTGACAGTGAGCTGCAATTCTGGTGTGGGACTTTGTGTTGGCACATTTGACAGCTGCTGTGTGCATTTTTACTTTGTGTGGCAGCTTTAGCATTTTGATAGCACTCTGATGTTTATTGCTGCTTTTCCAATGGGACAGTAAAGGAGATTTGGTATGATTTCCACTGGCGCAAGAATGGAGCGGTGCACATCCAGAATATCTGTATGCAGACTGCTGTTTCCTTGCCTCTCAGGCAGACGCACTCTGACTGAATAAAACACCACCTAATTAGTAGCCTCCTACAACATGCTTGTTTTAGGGAGGGGGAGAGGGGGTATTTATGGGTCTGTTCTTTTCTCTTCAGAATGGGGTCACACCAGGATAAACATGAAACAATTTACATGCCGTGATTATTTTCCCCGGTGTCTACTTTTGTGAATAATTCTGCAACTGATGTTTTTATAAGTCCTGCTCCCTGAAGATGAGATTGTTGATATCACTGTCTGTCTTTTGCCTTCAGCTGCCCAAATTTTTCTACTTGTGTGGTGATGGTGTCTGGGGGGTCCGCAAGGCCTGTGCTGAGTGTTTCATGACTGTGTCTTGTGCTTGCTCCCTGGAGACTCGGAAGCTGGAGCTGGCAAACCTGTTTGTGAATCTTCTGTGTGATCAGTCCAGATGGGTAAGTCTTGTGTGGGGTGTCTTCTGTATGATCAGTCCAGATGGATAAGTGCACACACACCATGCATATACCACCCAAGCACACTACACCGCACACATTTCAGTGAAGTAACTAGAGAAATTAAACCTGCTTAGTGGCCGACCAGGTGGGAGAAAAACTTAAATGTTTGGGATATATTGAAAGAATGTCAGGTGACAGAGAAGTAAAAACTATACACAAGGGAGATGAATGGTCATAGACTACGAGGCAGACCAAAAAGAAGTTGGCGAGATAATGTCTAGACAGACCTGCAAACACTTGGTGTGACCAACTGGAAAGAGAAGGCCAAGAAGAGAGGTGAATGGTGGGTGATATCTGCACCAATGAACCTCAAGGGCTCAGAATACTGAAAAAAAAAAAAAAAAAGTGGGCGAACAAGCACTGTGCAGAATGTCATAAGTGGACAAACCCTGCTGCCACCAGGTGAGTTCTGTCACCTGTATACATCTTTATTGTTGAATGAAGCAGTAATGGTTGCTGTGTCTGCTGCTTCCAGGTACGGATGTCAGCGTTCCAACAGCTGGGGCCCTTTATCTCTACATTTGCTGACGCAGATCGGACTGGTCTCTTTGTCAATGAAGATGGCAGTCTCAGCTTTCGCAGTATCGACAGGTGGGTATGCAGTCTCTGGTCAAAGTGAGGTAGAAAGTGAACTCTTCTTCTTTGCCATTTGTCCTTGGTCCTTTTTGCCCTGAGAAATTGCAGAACTGACACTTTCATGAGATTATCACTTGTCCTAATTATCTACAGTGACCTGTTTTCGAGACGCATAGTTAATGCTTTTTGGCTGTGAGTCAACTGATACTTACGTCTGGTTTTTTCCCCTAGACCTCAGGGAATGTATTTTGTTGACTGATTATCCCTATATGGGTTCTGGTGCCCTGTTATATAGAAAACTAGAATAGACCCACAAGCATCGCATGAGTGGTCTAATTGGGGGCTCCTTTTGCAGTCAGTACATCTGCTTGAGAGGCAAGGAACCAACAATCTGCATGCAGATCTGTTACATGGATGTGCGTGCAGCACTCAGGTTCTGGAACAAAGACTTAAAGTCCAGAAGTGGACAAACAACCAGAATTTTCTGCATAAGTTTTCAGCAGATAAAAGCTTAGGAGTTTGTGTTGCAGTTTTCATTGCTGTATGTTTATTAGTGTAGATAACTGGTGTGCCTGCTGGCCATAACTCGAGAGGCCTCTTCCTCCCTTTACCCCACAGTGGAGCATAGGCTCTCACTCCAGGTCGCCCTATCCTTACCTGTCATGTGTTCAGCTTATCTTGTGTTGTGGTCCCTTCATTTCTTTGACTGTATGAATGACATTGCATGAGCACTAGTTATATCATCAGGGTTTCTCTTTCTGGGTGTTCAGTCACTGTAAACTCCTTCAGAATGTTTTGGTTGTTCGTCCATTTTTGGACCCAAGTCTTTTTCCAGGGTGTGAGTTTTGGTTGTCTGTCCACTTTTGGACCCAAGTCTTTTTCCAGGGTGTGAGTTTTGGTTGTCCGTCCACTTCTGGACCCAAGTCTTTTTCCAGGGTGTGAGTTTTGGTTGTCCGTCCACTTTTGGAACCAATTCTTTTTCCTGGGTGTGAGTTTTGGTTGTCCGTCCACTTTTGGACCCAAGAATTCTTTTTCCAGGGTGTAAGTTTTGGTTGTCCATCCACTTTTGGACCTAAGTCTTTTTCCTGGGTGTGAGTTTTGGTTGTCCGTCCACTTTTAAATCCAAGTCTTTTTCCAGGGGTGAGTTTTGGTTGTCCATCCACTTTTGGACCCAAGTCTTTTTCCAGGGTGTGAGTTTTGGTTGTCCATCCACTTTTGGACCCAAAGAATTCTTTTTCCAGGGTGTGAGTTTTGGGTGTCCATCCACTTTTGGACCCAAGAATTCTTTTTCCAGGGTGTGAGTTTTGGTTGTCCTTCCACTTTTGGACCCAAGTCTTTTACCAGGGTGTGAGTTCTGGTGTGCAGATTTGTTTCCCAGATCTGACTTATTTGTGTGTTCAGTGTTGGTTTCTCACCTCTCAGGCAGATGCACTTAGCCAGACTTGCAAGGAAAACTCCTCCTAACTAGTTGCCGTTTACGTCAGGCCAAAAAGACGAGTGACAGTTCCCCTCCGAGTCTGACACTGACGACACAACAGCTCTTGCTAGTGGTAAAGGTGACGCCGACATCAGCAACAACAGCCACCGACAAGATGAAGATATGGTACTGGAAGACAGTGGCGGAGACGAGGATGGGGGCGGGTCCCAGGGCAGTGGAAGACTTGTGTTTGACCTGGATGATAAATCGTGTGAAGAACTGCGCTCCGAGTCCGTCGGGGTGCACACTGGTGGTATATCAGGGACCTCAGTATTAGAATGTTGTCAACAGCTTTTAGATGCCGCCGGTGTACAGAACGTCATCAACGCTCAAGAGTCTTCCTGTTTCTGTGATATTTGCAGCAATTTTTCAGATAAACAACAACAACAACCTGTGTCGTATTCAGAACCAGACATTCAAAATTCGAGTGATGAGGGCTGTGCATTGTGTGGTCTGGACAGAGATAACGATGTGGGGTGTGGAGATGACGATGTGGGCAGTGGAGATGGGGAAGTAGAGAGTGCCACAGTTGGAGAAAGTGAGGATAGAGGGGTAGAAAGTGCTTCCACTGCAGGCAGTGGAGACACGTTTGTAGAGGTCAAGAGCTCTAGGCTTTCTCTGGACGTCCGGGACCAGCCTGATTCCAACAGTGTTTTCGATGGGTCAAAATCCACTAGTGACGGTGTCCTCTGGCCACCATCAAGTTATGATGCTACCTCCGGGGTCGTGCACGTGCATTTGGATAACAATTTTAACACATTTCAATACTGGAGGTCGCCACTTCCTGAAGTAAACATAGACTTCGATATCATTAACGGCCAGCCAACCAACATCCATGTAGTTGCCAAGGTCAAGGACGACGAGTCCAAAAAAGTATATGCATCTGAAATGAGCGTCAGCATTTCTGGATCTTCAGGTAATGTCGAGTCGGTCACAGACACCTTGTCCAGGTTTTCATTTGGAGATTCTGTGTCGTTATCACCGTCATCTTTAGTGACCACAGAAGTGGAGAAATCAGGTGTTCGTATTCATACTGCCAGCGTTAGCACGGTCAGTGATGTTGCAGACGAGACAGTATCAAATATCGGCAGCACACATGTTCTGGGACAGCATCTCGGGGAGCAGCATTTGGCCATTGTTGATGGCATAGTTCAAGGTCAGTTTTGCTGCATTTCTCTGTGACCTCTGTCCTGTTCTCCATACCTGTCTGCTTGACCTCTGTATTACTCTCACTACCTGTCTATACTTGTGCTGTCTTCCTTTTGTTATCGCTGTGATTGTGTTCATGTGTGTCTTAACCTTTCTATTAAGTTTTTACACCTGTCACCCCCAAATATGTAGCTTCTTTAATTCTGCTTATTCACATTCACCGACTAGAAAGTTCAGGTTGTTTGTCCACTTCCATGTAGAGTTTTAACCTTGTTTCAGAATCAGAGTATTGCGTGCTCATCCAATTTTACAAATCTGGCTTGTTTGTATGCAGACTGTTGGTTCCTTGCCTCTCAGGCAGAAGCACTCTGACTCTAAAGAATGCCTCCATTTAGTCAACGCAGCAGCCAGTCCACAGTACCTTAACTGATTGTTTCTGTGAGGAGTTGGTTATAATGTTTCCTATCTCTGCCTAGTAATTCTTGATTGTTTCCTTCTGCCCGTCATTCTCTATCTGTCTCACACTTTGGCTTCTTCACTTTCTAACATTCTTCCCCGGACAGTTTGTCATGCTGTGATTATACTGCAGCCAAACCTTAAGAGCAGAATAGTTGAACTGGTAGCCTAGTGACAAGCACAGTTGCCTGGCAACCCAGCGTCTGTGTGGTCAGGTCACTATGGCAGACACATTGGTTGAGAGTAATATAATTTTCTGGTCACTGCAGGCAGAGGATACTAAAACATGCTGCTTTGTGAGCAAAATGAGTGCAGCAATACATTAGTGATGTGCCAGAATGGCTTAGAAAAGTGTGTAATGTGTGAGAGGAGAATGTTCACTGGTTAGATAGTGATGGTGGGGACTGTCAGTGTCATTACATGCAGTTACAGTGTCAGTGTCATTACATGCAGTTACAGTGTCAGTGTCATTACATGCAGTTACAGTGTCATTACATGCAGTTACAGTGTCATTACATGCAGTTACAGTGTCATTACATGCAGTTACAGTGTCAGTGTCATTACATGCAGTTACAGTGTCAGTGTCATTACATGCAGTTACAGTTTCAGTGTCATTACATGCAGTTAGTGTCATTACATGCAGTTACAGTGTCATTACATGCAGTTACAGTGTCAGTGTCATTACATGCAGTTACAGTTTCAGTGTTATTACATGCAGTTAGTGTCATTACATGCAGTTACTGTGTCAGTGTCATTACATGCAGTTCCTTGTATGCATTCCGAGACATCATTGTGAAGGGTGGGTGGAAGGAGGGAGTATATTTGCTGCACTCCCAGCAAGCATGTCTCAAGAGCTAATTAGGGGTGTGTGTTTTCTCAAAGTAGAAGTGCATTTATCTGAGAGACAAGTAACCAGCAGTCTGCATACAAATAAGCCAGATCTGTAAAATGGATGTGCAAGCAAAATTCAAGTTCTAGAACAGGTCCAGAAGTGGATGAGCTGCCCGAAATTTCCAACAACTGTAACTTTTCGATCCTTTACAGGAAGTTGCTCTTTTCACAGCACGCCCGAAAGCCTGTCTTGCCAAATTCTCCAGCCCTATGATTGTTACTAGCGAACACATTTTCAGTGTCTTGTATTTACCGGTACAAAAGTTTGTGTGTACCTTGTTTCCCTGAAACTACCTTTCTGTCCATACCAGTGTGACCCTCAAACCTGGGCAAAATACCTCAGCCTTGGAGACGGGATGCTGTGTGTCAGCCAGTTCTTCTTAATGTTTAGGTTCATGTAGGATGCTGGTGTTTTTCTTCTGCCCCACCCACGGCATTATCAGAATTTTTCTGTAGCATTTCATTTGACACATTGCTTTTGTTCTTCCATGCGCCTTTGTGCATCTGTGTGTGTCCGTAAGTTGTGACAGCAGAGAGGCATGGTCTCAGAGTTTGTGCTTTGACTGGCTTTTATCATCATGCCCAAAACTGGCCTGCACTATAGTTCTGCTTCATTGATATATTCATCAGAGAGGATCATTAGTCATCCTTCATGGCAGGCTTGTTAGGGTGGCAGTGGGTCTGTTCCCCTGAACCCACTTGGAAAGACTACCAGACTACCACTTGGGAAGATTTGTAACTCTGTCTTCTGTTACTAAAAGAATGAAATGGTCAGTGTCACATATGCAGGTAAGAGAACACATATACAGGGTTTCCTAACATATAACCAATGCCATTACAAGTGTAACACCAACTGTGCTTAGACATGTTCTTCAGCAGTTGAGGACTTGCTTCGAAATGTTTTCAAAACCTTTGTCCTGTGTGTGAAAATGTATGGGACATCCTGTTGTTTTGAATGATCAGTTAGATTAATGATCCTCCATCGACAGACTTGAGTACCAGCAACATCAGTTTCATGGACGAGATGCCTTCAATGTTTGGACTGGATGGCGCCACCCTGGCTCAGCAACAGGTAACTTTGGGTTTAGTTTAAGAAGTATCACTTTTATTTGTACCTTTAATTGTAGCTTTAATACTTTCTCACCGCGAGTAATTGTACCTTTAATACTTTCTCACCGCCAGTAATTGTACCATTAATACCTTCTCACAACCAGTAATTGTGCCTTTAATACTTTCTCACAACCAGTAATTGTACCTATTACACTTTCTCACAACCAGTAATTGTACCTATTACACTTTCTCACAACCAGTAATTGTACCTATTACACTTTCTCACAACCAGTAATTGTACCTATTACACTTTCTCACAACCAGTAATTGTAACATTACTCCATCAGAACATTGTGCCACAGTTGCTGCTGGAGAACTATCTGGGGATGGTGGATCCTTCACGAGCCCAGACTGTCGACGGGGAAATCACCAAACATTGTGCCTACAACCTGCCGGCTGTGGCCTACACACTGGGCAGGCAGAACTGGCACTGCATCAGGAACTTGTACGAGACACTGGCCCAGGACATGCAGGTGAGCATCACTGAGGTCTACTCAGTTTACCTGAATCCTGTTCAGGTATGAACCAAACAGCTCTCTGCCAGGTCATCAAGGTGATCGCAGTTCCAGCTTCACAACAAATGGGTCACTCCATACTTGTTCTGTTCCTGTGCCAACGAAAACCACACAGAAGATTCCATTGTAGTCCCTTGTAAAAAAAAAAAAAGTCAACAAAGCATTAATGCATAAGGCAGTGTCAGAAGTGCCCACACAAACAGTGTGGCACTAGAGATGCAGTTCATCAGTGGTGGAAGCAGCAATTACAACATGTCAGTAGTTGCACACGCCATTAATCGCACAAGGCACCACCACCATTTGTGGGGAAACAGGCTGTTATCATGTTCTGATGCACAAGGCACGACCACCATTTGTGGGGAAACAGACTGTTCATGTTCTGACGCACAAGGCACCATCACCATTTGTGGGGAAACAGGCTGTTATCATGTTCTGAATGTGTAGTTCACAACACAAATCACTTTGGGCAGTCAGAAATGCAGCTCACAGTGTCAGGCCATGCACTTAGCCAAACTAACTGTCCACTGTCCACATATGGAGGATAATGCAATGGCCAACTATTATCAGAAGTAGAAACTTGCCACAACTTAAAAAAAAAAACAGTAATCATGTCTGCGACTCAAGTCCAGAACCTTCCATAGGAATATACAACTGGTGAATGCCACTGAAGGAGAAACAAATACCCCAAAATGTGTTTTGCAAGACTCCTGTTTTGAAGGAGCTGCCAAGCAATCCTATGTTTTTAGTATATGTCTAATTCACTTCAGACTCACTATTTGAATGCTTATCCTCCCGGTGTGTGTTCTAGGGCCCTATGGAGGGAGGGGGGGGGGGATAAGAATAGGCCCTTTACCTACCCAAAAAGCATGCTGTGAGAGTTTACTAATTGGGAGCTTTGAAATTAGAGTACATCTGCCTGGGAGACAAGGAACCAACAGTCTGTATGAAAATGAGGCAGATCATGCCTGTAAAACTGATGTGCACGCAACACTCAGGTTCTGGAACAAGACGTTGAGTCCAGATGTGGGTGAATAGCCAGAACTTTCCACCCGAGTTTACAGCCTGTGAATGCAAAGAAAAAGAAGGTTAATTCTTTTCCATTCATTGCTTTATTCTGCCGTTCATTTTGGTTCAGGGTAAATCAGAGAAGAGATCAAAAGAAGAAGAAAGCATTAATTGTCTTTCTTGCCTATCTGTGATGTTTAACATATACTCTATTCTCCCTGATGTGATGTTTTACATATTCTCTCACTGATGTCTAACAGACATTCTGTCTCTGTGATGTTTAACATATTCTCTCACCAGTGTCCAACATACATTCTGTCTCTGTGATGTTTAACATATTCTCTCACCAGTGTCCAACATACAGTCTGTCTCTGTGATGTTTAACATATTCTCTCACTGATGTCCAACATACAGTCTGTCTCTGTGATGTTTAACATATTCTCTCACTGATGTCCAACATACATTCTGTGTCTGTGATGTTTAACATATTCTCTCACTGATGTCCAACATACATTCTGTCTCTTTGATGTTTAGCAAATTCCTACTCACTGATATCTAACATAGATTTTGTTTCTGTTGTTTAACATATTCTCTTAGTGATATCCAACATAAGTTTTGTCTCTGTGTGATTTTTTACATAAATTGGTAATGTTGTTTAACATACATTCTGTTTTGCTTAACATAACAATTCCTTGGTTACTGTTTAACATAATCTCTGTCTCTCCCTCCTCTCTCTCTCCCCCTCCGTCTCTCTCCCCTCCCACCCCTCTCTCTCACTCTCTATCTCTCTCTTTATCTCTGATTTTTAACAAAAATTCTTGTGTATTTCTAATTTTTGAACATCCATTTTGTGTTTGCTGTGTGACAGTGGAAGGTCCGTCGCACTTTGGCTTTCTCCATGCACGAGCTGGCCATGATTGTCGGGGAGGAAATCACGCACAAAGACCTGGTTCCTGTTTTTGATGGATTCCTGAAAGACTTGGACGAGGTCCGGATTGGAGTGTTAAAACATTTAGCTGACATTTTTCGAGTAAGCAGAGAGTTGAAATGTGACATTTTATTTACTAAATGTAAATTTTGTGTTCACTAGTTACTACGATTGTTGTAAATTTTGTGTGCTCTAGATATTATGGTTGTTGTAAATGTACTGTAAAGTTGCTTGCTGTTGCTGTAAATTTGGTATACTCTAGTCACCCCAGTTTAGTATATATAGTCTAGTCACCAGTGTTTGTATACTCTAGTTACCAGTTGCTGTAAATTTTGTATAGTCTGGTCATTAATGTTTGGTATACTCTAGTTACCACAGTTGCTGTAAATTTGGCATAGTCTAGTCACAAGTGTTTGTATACTCTAGTTACCACAGTTGCTGTAAATTTTGTCTGGTCATTAATGTTTGGTATACTCTAGTTACCACAGTTGCTGTAAATTTGGTATAGTCTAGTCATTGTTTAGTATAGTCTGGTCACCAGTGTTTGTATACTCTAGTTACCAGTTGCTGTACATTTGGTATAGTCTAGTCATTAATGTTTGGTATCTAGTTACCACAATTGCTGTAAATTTGGTATGGTCTAGTCATTAATGTTTGGTATAGTCTAGTCACCAGTGTTTGTATACTCTAGTTACCACAATTGCTGTAAATTTGGTATGGTCTAGTCATTAATGTTTGGTATAGTCTAGTCACCAGTGTTTGTATACTCTAGTTACCACAGTTGCTGTAAATTTGGTATAGTCTAGTCACCAATGTTTGGTTTACTCCGGTCACCATTATGGCTATAAATTTGGTATTCTCAACTCACCATAATGGCTATAAATTTGGTATAGTCTAGTCATTAATGTTTGGTATCTAGTTACCACAATTGCTGTAAATTTGGTATGGTCTAGTCATTAATGTTTGGTATAGTCTAGTCACCAGTGTTTGTATACTCTAGTTACCACAGTTGCTGTAAATTTGGTATAGTCTAGTCACCAATGTTTGGTTTACTCCGGTCACCATTATGGCTATAAATTTGGTATTCTCAACTCACCATAATGGCTATAAATTTGGTATAGTCTAGTCACCATTATGGCTATAAATTTGGTATTCTCTACTCACCATAGTGGCTATAAATTTGGTATAGTCTAGTCACCATTATGGCTATAAATTTGGTATTGTGTACTTACCATAATGGCTATAAATTTGGTATTCTCTACTCACCATAATGGCTATAAATTTGGTTGTCTAGTCACCATTATGGCTATAAATTTGGTATTCTCTACTCACCATAATGGCTATAAATTTGGTATAGTCTAGTCACCATTATGGCTATAAATTTGGTATTGTGTACTTACCATAATGGCTATAAATTTGGTATTGTGTACTTACCATAATGGCTATAAATTTGGTATACCCAAATGACCACATTTGCTGTAGCCATCACATGTCTGTTCACATTTTCTATACGGAAGATACCATACTCTGTATATGAATATTGCCTTTATTGTCCGCATAGGTTTATTACCCCAGTTGTTGATTGCAGACTTTGGTTTACAAAATCTTTTGTTAACTCTTTCATTTCCAGACTTGTCACATTAAACTTATTTGTCATAGACTTTTTTTGAATACATCTTTCATAATTCTTTGTTTACTATCAGCATGTTGACTGTTCATTGGCTACTGAAGAAGGGGGTGGAGCTTATATGGGAATTTCCCAGGTAGAGTTGTCAGTTCTTGATTCATTCATTCGTTCGTTCATTCATTCATTCAACTCATTGTTGTCATATTTCTATCTATCCTAGGTTGCCCGGCTCTCTAGCGCAGTTGGCTTAACCAGACTGAGCGGTGACCGGGTAACAAACTCCTTGTGGTCCGGGTTCACGCCCGCGGGTAGGCAGAAAAGCCACATTTCTCCCAGATTTGCGGTACCTATCATGGAATCAAAGCCGAAGGGTTGCGATTTCCATAGTACCGAGCCAAAAGGTTAGGATTAGGAACTCATGGCTTCTGGATACTAAAAAAAAAATATATATCCTGGGTTGTAACCACTTCTCTTTCAGTTATTGTTGTAACCAACCAACTACCTGGAGTCAGAAAGAGTTAGTGAAATATCAGCAACTAATTTTATCAGTGTACATAGGGTGTGTTTTCTTGGTGCTGAAATTCCTGACTTTCTTTGATTCCTGACTTTGTTTGATGTTTGCAGTTACTGCGGCCGGAAGTCAGACTCCAGTACCTGGCCAGGACCCACGTGTTTATGAAAGCTGACAATCAGCGCAATTGGAGGTTCAGGGAGGAATTAGCTGAGTGAGTATTGCAACATGGAGTCAGTTGTGTGAATAACTGTTGGTTCTGGGTGAAGATGACGAGTAGAAAAAGGCTTAGATGTGTTAGGCCGAAAGGTGCAGATGTCTCAGCCTGGCTGTAAACCACATTACATGTGCCAACTGCATTTTAAGGGGCAAAAAAAAAACAAGTATGATGCCAGTTGGCAGTTACATTCTTAAAACAAATCAATCAAGTGCTGTGTCCACAGTGTAGGTTGGCTGGAATGATCTACAACATGCTCTTTCTCTGACTTGTTTGCTCCCATTTGTATCGTTGTCTACATCTTGCCTTCAACTTTTCCCTCCAGTGCCTCTTCTTCGCATATTTGTAAAAGACTAAACCAGGCAGCACCTTTGTATCCTTTATTTAGTCTTTTACCATGACCTTGTTCGACATTGGAGACCTCACCAGTAGCTAAGCCACTGTCAACATTGCTCTTGTCTGTGGGTGGGGTCATTGAACTTACAGATCTCTCTACCACTGTGTGTGTGTGGACACAGGTTAGAAATATCAAACTGTAAACATCAGTTGTAACTGTGTATCCCAGCAGTAAGAAACTCTGTCATGTTTGTGTCTGTTGTTGCCTGTTGTAATAATCCAAGGTTTACTGTATGAAGTTAATCTACTTAGCCTATGAGGTGGATCTTTGAAAGACATAGGCCAGGAAAGACAGGAGATGAGCATAATTCCTATGAAGGACGAGATGGAGTGAGTTATGTTATAAATGTTTGGTGCGAATTGAACACATGAGGTCCCTGTGTGGGTTGTGGGGGTAACGAGAATAGACCCACTTCCTATCCAGAATCATGTTGTAAGAGTCGACTGATTGGGAGCTTCCTTAGAAGTCAGAGTGCATCTGACTGACAGCAAGGAACCAGCAGTATGCACATAAGTCAGATCTGTAAAATGGGTGTGCACGTGACATTCAGGGCCTGGAACATGACCAAAGTCCAGAAGTGGATGAACAACCATAACTTTCTGCTAGTTTACAGTCGGTAAACATGAAGAAGAAGAACACACGAGGAGACAAGTGAAAGGAACCAAAGATGATTTTGTATTTGGCAGTGGGACGAGAAGCGTGGGAGAGCAAATGAGAGTGAAACTGAAATCTGAGCTCACAGAAGCTTGGAATCTCTAGCTATTGTTTGCCAGGATGGATGACAGCTTGAAGATTGCTGGCGGTTTGGTCTGAAAATGTCTGCCTGAAGTTGAGCATCAGTGTAGTATACTTGCTGTATCGGGAGTAATAACCCATGTATGTGAACATTAGTATGGTATAGACTGGGTGTATTGTGTGGTAATAACTCATGTATGTGAACATTAGTATGGTATAGACTGGGTGTATCGTGTGGTAATAACTCATGTATGTGAACATTAGTATGGTATAGACTGGGTGTATTGTGTGGTAATAACTCATGTATGTGAACATTAGTATGGTATAGACTGAATAACTCATGTATGTGAACATTAGTATGGTATAGACTGAATAACTCATGTATGTGAACATTAGTATGGTATAGACTGGGTGTATCCTGTGGTAATAACCCATGTATGTGAACATTAGTATGGTATAGACTGGGTGTATCGTGTGGTAATAACTCATGTATGTGAACATTAGTATGGTTCAGACTGGGTGTATCGTGTGGTAATAACTCATGTATGTGAACATTAGTATGGTTCAGACTGGGTGTATCCTGTGGTAATAACCCATGTATGTGAACATTAGTATGGTATAGACTGGGTGTATCGTTTGGTAATAACTCATGTATGTGAACATTAGTATGGTATAGACTGGGTGTATCGTTTGGTAATAACTCATGTATGTGAACATTAGTATGGTATAGACTGGGTGTATCGTGTGGTAATAACTTATGTATGTGAACATTAGTATGGTTCAGACTGGGTGTATCGTGTGGTAATAACTCATGTATGTGAACATTAGTATGGTGCAGACTGGGTGTATCCTGTGGTAATAACTCATGTATGTGAACATTAGTATGGTTCAGACTGGGTGTATCATGTGGTAATAACCCATGTATGTGAACATTAGTATGGTATAGACTGGGTGTATCGTTTGGTAATAACTCATGTATGTGAACATTAGTATGGTTCAGACTGGGTGTATCGTGTGGTAATAACTCATGTATGTGAACATTAGTATGGTTCAGACTGGGTGTATCGTGTGGTAATAACTCATGTATGTGAACATTAGTATGGTGCAGACTGGGTGTATCGTGTGGTAATAACTCATGTATGTGAACATTAGTATGGTTCAGACTGGGTGTATCGTGTGGTAATAACCCATGTATGTGAACATTAGTATGGTGCAGACTGGGTGTATCGTGTGGTAATAACTCATGTATGTGAACATTAGTATGGTTCAGACTGGGTGTATCGTGTGGTAATAACCCATGTATGTGAACATTAGTATGGTGCAGACTGGGTGTATCGTGTGGTAATAACTCATGTATGTGAACATTAGTATGGTGCAGACTGGGTGTATCGTGTGGTAATAACCCATGTATGTTAACATTAGTATGGTGCAGACTGGGTGTATCGTGTGGTAATAACTCATGTATGTGAACATTAGTATGGTGCAGACTGGGTGTATGGTGTGGTAATAACCCATGTATGTGAACATTAGTATGGTGCAGACTGGGTGTATCCTGTGGTAATAACTCATGTATGTGAACATTAGTATGGTGCAGACTGGGTGTATCGTGTGGTAATAACTCATGTATGTGAACATTAGTATGGTGCAGACTGGGTGTATCGTGTGGTAATAACCCATGTATGTGAACATTAGTATGGTGTAGACTGGGTGTATCCTGTGGTAATAACTCAACTGTCTGTACATGTTGCTGCTGTTTCCCCAGGCAGCTGATTGTGGTCTGTGATCTGTTCCACTGCCTGTACATGTTGCTGCTGTTTCCCCAGGCAGCTGATTGTGGTCTGTGATCTGTTCCACTGCCTGTACATGTTGCTGCTGTTTCCCCAGGCAGCTGATTGTTGTCTGTGATCTGTTCCATTGTCTGTACATGTTGCTGCTGTTTCCCCAGGCAGCTGATTGTGGTCTGTGATCTGTTCCATTGTCTGTACATGTTGCTGCTGTTTCCCCAGGCAGCTGATTGTGGTCTGTGATCTGTTCCACTGCCTGTACATGTTGCTGCTGTTTCCCCAGGCAGCTGATTGTTGTCTGTGATCTGTTCCATTGTCTGTACATGTTGCTGCTGTTTCCCCAGGCAGCTGATTGTTGTCTGTGATCTGTTCCATTGTCTGTACATGTTGCTGCTGTTTCCCCAGGCAGCTGATTGTGGTCTGTGATCTGTTCCACTGCCTGGACGTGGTGACACACATAGTTCCACTGGCTATGATGTTGCTCTCTGACAAGGTGGCCCAAGTTCGATTCGTGGCCTTGAGACTGGTGAGTAGTAACTTCTTAGCATACTTGTTATTTTGATTGTTTTTGTCTCTCAGTGTAGAGACAGACATGTCGTAAGAGTTAAGTAATTAGGGATGTTTTCTTTGTAGTCAGAGTGCATCTGCCTGTGAGGCGAGGAACTAATTCTCCATTAAAAAAAAATAAGCCAGATCTGTAAGACGTATGTGCAGGTAAAACTTAGGCTCTACAACAGGAGTATATTCCAGAAGTCAGTGAACAAGCAGAACCTCCCTCCGGTGAATGTGAAGAAGTAGTAGTAGTTTTATTTTCTAACTGTTGTTTCGAGTTCTACGACTTAAACTTGCAGTGGTTGATGATATTGCTTTCGTTTTTAACCTGGGACCTCCAACACTTGAATCGGATGCCATGCCTCGAGACCACACAGCCCCCAGTTTTTCTCTCTACCTTTTTGTATGCCTGTTTCCTTTCACCTTTTATTGCTTCTCTTGCCTATGGCTGATCAGCTGTCACTTTCTCGCTTGGCAGTTCACTTGACCTGTTATTTTAAAGCCATTTTAAAGTCATCTAGTCTGTCCCTAGTTGACTGCCAGCTTGACTTTTGTTTTTTCTGGACTATTTTCCCCACTAGCCTTGTCTTGGTCTGGTTTTGTCATTTTCCCCCTTGTCTGCTCCCTCTCTCCTTAGTTCCAGTCTTTTTCTATATCTTTGTTCCATCCTTTGCTTTTTTTTCATCTCTCTTGAAATTTTCCTCTGCCCTTTATTTACCAGCAGTGGAGCATAGGCCCTCAACCAAATCATGCCAGGTTGTTCTTTCTTTCGCTCTTGCATGCAGCTCTCCACATCTTCCCTTCTTTTAACTTTACTCTCTAGCTGCCTTCTTCATGGGGTTTTTGGGTCTGCCTTTATTTCTATGTCACTGTGGGTTCCAGTGCAAAGACATTTCAATTATATTCTCAGGTTTTTGCCAGCATCTTTTCCTCACCTTTCCTTTCAAATAGCAAAGCTATGTTACTACTGATGCTGTTGTCATTTAGTAAATGAAGCCTTTGATATATTTTTCTGTCCCTATTTGTTTCGTGTTAAAAGCTAGGTTTTGAATTAATTTACAGCTCCTTCTCTGTTAGACACGCACGCACACACACACAGCTACATATATTTATGATATCCTGTTTCAATAAGCACAGATGTATCATTGATATGGTGTAATGTTCTGTTGTGACAGTTAAGTGCTGTGTTAAGAAAGACCTACCTCGATGAAGAAAAGAAGCTGCTGGCCTCGGTCTGTAACAACATCATCGAGCAGTTGGTCAACAACAACCGCTGGCTGTCCAGACAGACGTAAGTTATTTGTTCTTCAACTTTGTCGCCCCCCCCCCCCCTTACCTCACCGTCATTATGCTGTTCATCTCTCCGTGGTGTGATCATTCTTCTGTGAACCACATCTACCTACTTCAGCACTGTAAACATTACCATCCACCCCACAGTGGACCACATCTACCTACTTCAGCACTGTAAACATTACCATCCACCCCACAGTGGACCACAGCTACCTACTTCAGCACTGTAAACATTACCATCCACCCCACAGTGAACTACATCTACCTACTTCAGCACTGTAAACATTACCATCCACCCCACAGTGAACTGTGCAAAGACGGTCTACACAATCTTTACCAAAAGCCACCAAGTAGCAAGGAAGAATATTAACCTGAGGTTAGACAAACACCAAGTGATGAAAGAAGAGCATCCCACATACCTTGGAGTCACACTTGACCCGCAGCTCAGCCTCAAGAACCATATTGAAAACATCAGGAATAAGGCATTGAGGCGGTTACAGTTATTAAAGAGACTTGCAGGTACATCATGGGGATCAGACAAGGAAACTCTGAGGGGCTTATATTTAGGATATGTTCGCTCTGTGATAGAGTACAACAACTCACTGCTTACAACTTGTTCCAAAACTAACCTAGAGACTCTTGACAGAGTACAAAATAATGCCCTCCGATTAATCTGCGGAGCTATGCAGTCTACACCAACTGCTGCATGTGAAATCCATACAAATGTGGAACCCCTCGGGTTGCGGAGAGAAAAAGCCACTTTAGAAATTTATGAAAGATGCGTTAGGAAAAATCGTAACCATCCTAATAGACATCTTGTAGAAAACTGGGAATCCAAACAAAGAATAAAGCACAAATCGGTTTTACACTGTGTTAATGAAATTCAGGACAGATACCACCTCCCAGAAAGACGTCAAGGAATTCAGAATGTTGCAAAAAACCTACCACCACATGCTCGCTTTAAAGCTCCAGAAGTCCAAACTAAATTGGTAGGCGAGGAAACCAAACAGTCCGACCTAATCGCTCTTATGAACTCATCACTAAAGACCGTTGATTCTTACCCCCAAGAATGGATACATGTCTATACTGATGGATCAGCATTTAAAGCTACCATTAAAGCAGGTTACGGAATCTACATAGGTTATCCCGATGGATCTGTTGAAGAGATTTTTGATGCATGCGGGGAATTCTGTTCAAACTATGAAGCTGAAATAATTGCACTGGAAACAGCAGTATACCACCTAAAGACTGTAATGGATGTTTACCCCTCAAAGGTCCAAAATATTGTCATCTTCACAGATTCAATGTCTGCCCTTCAACAAGCTCTGGAGGGCAATGAACGCTGCAGAACTGACATAGCCAAGATAATCCTGGATGCCGATCAGCTTATTACCTCATACAACATCAGAATAGTGATGCAGTGGATTCCAGGTCACTCCGGCACACCAGGTAATGACAGAGCTGACAGATTGGCAAAGAAAGGAGCAACACAAGAACAACCACCTACAGCGACAACCCTCCAGACAGCAAAAACACTGATAAGAGCTATAAACAAAGAGACTTGGTTGAACAGATGGGCCATGGGAGACACTGGAAGAGAGGTTTATAGACATATGTCTGGCCCTGATCCTAATGACAGCATTAACCATCTAACAAGAAGGGACCAGGCCACCATCTTCAGACTTAGAACGCAACATACTCCACTCAATGGACACCTAAACAGAATACAGCCACAACACTCCCCAGAGTGCCAGCTATGTAACTACCCCTACGAAACTGTTGAACACCATCTCTTTGAGTGCCCAAAACTCAGTGAGACAAGAAGAACGCTACTCCCTCCGAGACCAGACAAGTGGAACACCTTGTACGGAGGAAAAGAACAGCTTGTGAAAACATGCAAATTCCACTACATGGCATTGGGCCAAAGGGCGAAAGCTCATGCGCCGCTGGATCGATAACAACAACAACAACAACAACTTCAGCACTGTAAACATTACCATCCACCCCACAGTGGACCACATCTACCTACTTCAGCACTGTAAACATTACCATCCACCCCACAGTGAACCACAGCTACCTACTTCTGTACTGTAAACATTACCATCCACCCCACAGTGGACCACATCTACCTACTTCTGTACTGTAAACATTACCATCCACCCCACAGTGAACTACATCTACCTACTTCTGTACTGTAAACATTACCATCCACCCCACAGTGAACTACATCTACCTACTTCGGTACTGTAAACCTTACCATCCACCCCACAGTGAACTACATCTACCTACTTCAGCACTGTAAACATTACCATCCACCCCACAGTGAACCACAGCTACCTACTTCGGTACTGTAAACATTACCATCCACCCCACAGTGAACCACAGCTGCCTACTTCTGTACTGTAAACATTACCATCCACCCCACAGTGAACTACATCTACCTACTTCTGTACTGTAAACATTACCATCCACCCCACAGTGAACTACATCTACCTACTTCTGTACTGTAAACATTACCATCCACCCCACAGTGAACTACATCTACCTACTTCAGCACTGTAAACATTACCATCCACCCCACAGTGGACCACAGCTACCTACTTCAGCACTGTAAACATTACCATCCACCCCACAGTGGACCACAGCTACCTACTTCAGTACTGTAAACATTACCATCCACCCCACAGTGGACTACATCTACCTACTTCTGTACTGTAAACATTACCATCCACCCCACAGTGGACTACATCTACCTACTTCTGTACTGTAAACATTACCATCCACCCCACAGTGAACCACAGCTACCTACTTCGGTACTGTAAACATTACCATCCACCCCACAGTGGACCACATCTACCTACTTCAGCACTGTAAACATTACCATCCACCCCACAGTGGACCACATCTACCTACTTCAGCACTGTAAACATTACCATCCACCCCACAGTGGACCACAGCTACCTACTTCAGCACTGTAAACATTACCATCCACCCCACAGTGGACCACAGCTACCTATTTCAGCACTGTAAACATTACCATCCACCCCACAGTGGACCACAGCTACCTATTTCAGCACTGTAAACATTACCATCCACCCCACAGTGGACCACAGCTACCTACTTCAGCACTGTAAACATTACCATCCACCCCACAGTGAACTACATCTACCTACTTCAGCACTGTAAACATTACCATCCACCCCACAGTGAACTACATCTACCTACTTCAGCACTGTAAACATTACCATCCACCCCACAGTGAACTACATCTACCTACTTCAGCACTGTAAACATTACCATCCACCCCACAGTGAACTACATCTACCTACTTCAGCACTGTAAACATTACCATCCACCCCACAGTGAACTACATCTACCTACTTCAGCACTGTAAACATTACCATCCACCCCACAGTGAACTACATCTACCTACTTCAGTACTGTAAACATTACCATCCACCCCACAGTGAACCACAGCTACCTACTTCAGCACTGTAAACATTACCATCCACCCCACAGTGAACCACAGCTACCTACTTCAGTACTGTAAACATTACCATCCACCCCACAGTGAACCACAGCTACCTACTTCAGCACTGTAAACATTACCATCCACCCACAGTGGACCACAGCTACCTACTTCAGCACTGTAAACATTACCATCCACCCCACAGTGAACCACAGCTACCTACTTCAGCACTGTAAACATTACCATCCACCCCACAGTGAACCACAGCTACCTACTTCAGTACTGTAAACATTACCATCCACCCCACAGTGGACCACATCTACCTACTTCAGTACTGTAAACATTACCATCCACCCCACAGTGAACTATATCTACCTACTTCTGTACAGTAAACATTACCATCCACCCCACAGTGAACTACATCTACCTACTTCAGCACAGTAAACATTACCATCCACCCCACAGTGAACTACATCTACCTACTTCAGTACTGTAAACATTACCATCCACCCCACAGTGGACCACATCTACCTACTTCTGTACAGTAAACATACCATCCACCCCACAGTGAACTACATCTACCTACTTCTGTACTGTAAACATTACCATCCACCCCACAGTGAACTACCTACTTCAGTACTGTAAACATTACCATCCACCCCACAGTGAACTACATCTACCTACTTCAGTACTGTAAACATTACCATCCACCCCACAGTGAACTACATCTACCTACTTCAGCACTGTAAACATTACCATCCACCCCACAGTGGACCACAGCTACCTACTTCAGCACTGTAAACATTACCATCCACCCCACAGTGAACTACATCTACCTACTTCAGTACTGTAAACATTACCATCCACCCCACAGTGAACTACATCTACCTACTTCAGTACTGTAAACATTACCATCCACCCCACAGTGAACTACATCTACCTACTTCAGCACTGTAAACATTACCATCCACCCCACAGTGGACCACAGCTACCTACTTCAGCACTGTAAACATTACCATCCACCCCACAGTGAACTACATCTACCTACTTCAGTACTGTAAACATTACCATCCACCCCACAGTGAACTACATCTACCTACTTCAGTACTGTAAACATTACCATCCACCCCACAGTGAACTACATCTACCTACTTCAGCACTGTAAACATTACCATCCACCCCACAGTGAACTACATCTACCTACTTCAGTACTGTAAACATTACCATCCACCCCACAGTGGACCACATCTACCTACTTCAGCACTGTAAACATTACTATCCACCCCACAGTGGACTACATCTACCTACTTCAGTACAGTAAACATTACCATCCACCCCACAGTGGACCACATCTACCTACTTCAGTACTGTAAACATTACCATCCACCCCACAGTGGACCACATCTACCTACTTCAGTACTGTAAACATTACTATCCACCCCACAGTGGACCACATCTACCTACTTCAGTACTGTAAACATTACCATCCACCCCACAGTGAACTACATCTACCTACTTCGGCACAGTAAACA